AGGGGCAAATGGCAAATTCTATATATTAATTTGATTCTCCTCTAAATTCATGTTATCTGATTTATAAAGAACTTTCATTGCAGTTTGTTTATAGCAATTTTTACTGAGATTTGAATGCATATATTGTCCACAATGCTTCATGCTTCATTAACACTAATTTTTTTCATGAATAATTCTTGGTCACAGAGTATTTTCTCAGCATAGACGTTATTTCTTTTAGGAGTAACAATGCATTTTAATGTGATGCATGTTTGCATGGCATATTTCTATGACAGTATAAAAAGAGGAGAATCTTGTATATAAGACAGGTTCATTTCCAATGTCTTAGTGAGGAGGATAATCTATCAAGTACATTAATGCTGAATAACAAATGAGAATGAATACTTAGTTGTTTTCAGTATTGATGTGGTAAAGAACAGAAAACTGAGAAAAGATGAAAATAATCTTAGAAGATGTGTGATAGTTACATTGTTCTATTGATATTTTATCCTAGATGTTTGAAAATGGAAGATGATGACCTCTAATGTTTCAAAATTAGACTGTAATATTGTTTCTTTAATTCCTTGAATCTGGATTTTGCTTAAGTCAATTGTACTGTATGTTTTAATTCTTTGAAAGTATGTGTATTTTTCTTTTAATAAATAAAATTGATATAATCAAAGTTTTAATACAGAGGTTCAATGAAAAAAATTATCATGCACCAATGTGAAAATCTGCCTCATTTAATTTTATAGAGAGCAAAGGATGTTTACAAGAATAATCTTTTTTAAAAAAATAAAAATGACGAGTATTTCTTTCTAAAGTTGAAGCTGAGTGCCAGTTAGTGGGCCACAAAGGTTACAGAATGAGGGCCTCGAGGCTGCCGGCCTTGAGCACAATGCAAATAATACCCTTGCAGATTCCCATCATTCACCTGTCTTGCCCAGAGTCATTTTTGGAAATTCAGAATTGACTTACTAACGCCACAGTAAAAATGTCCCCATGGGTCCATTTTTCTACACCTCAGTTGTCCCCCTCTAATCTCTACCCATGAAGTCATTTTTCCCCACACACATTGAATATTGTTTGAATCCACATGCTCTGTCTCCTCATGAT